CGTATTCTTTCAGTCACATTCTGCCGGCCCAAGCATACACTGCTTAAGCAGGACGGGCATATAGATATAATATATATTATACATATATATATATATATATATATATATATATACAAATGTGTCTATATCTATATAAATATATGTATAAATATATCTGCAGCAGTGAGGTGTACAGACACTGCAATCCTTAAAAAAAAGCCAAAGCGAAAAATCTTACACTGTCACGGGGGCCCCTCTGTGTAAGGGCCCCCACACAGAGGGGCCCCAACACAGAGGGTACACAGGGGGCCCCCCTACACAGAGGGTACACATGGGGGCCCCCTAAACAGAGGGTACGCAGGGGGGCCCCCTACACAGAGGGGCCCTGATGAGGGGGGCCCTATATGAAGGGGGCCCCCCAAAGAAACGGGGGCCCATAGAACAAAGCCCCTAGAGCAGGTGGAGAAGATATATATGTAAATATATTCTAGGGTTTAGGGTTTAGGGTTTAGGGTTTAGATTTTTGTTTTCTATCAGTGAGGAGACGGAGAGCTGCTTCAGCTGCCTTTAATACCCCTAAAGAAAACACCAAATAATAAAAAATAAAAAATAATAAAAAATAATAAATAAATATACAAATAATAATAAAAATAAATAAATAAACAACAAACAAATATACAATACAGATAAACACCGACAAAGGAGCAGCCACTTAGCCGCCAGCAGCAGCAACCGCAGCAACGCCGCAGCAGCAGCAACACTGCAGCAGCAGCAACAACACTGCAACAGCAGCAGCAGCCCCACAACAGCAGCAGCAATACTGCAGCAGCAGCAGCAACACCGTAGCCTCATTTCACCAGCAGGACAAGCAAACCGACAACAGCAGCAGCAGAAGCACCAGGAAAGCAGCAGCAGCAGCAACACTGCAGCAGCAGCAACACTGCAGCAGCAGCAACACTGCAGCAGCAGCAACACTGCAGCAGCAGCAACACTGCAGCAGCAGCAGCACTGCAGCAGCAGCAACACTGCAGCAGCAGCAGCCAGCAGCAGAACGAACCTGATTTGCGTATAGGGTANCACTGCAGCAGCAGCAACACTGCAGCAGCAGCAGCCAGCAGCAGAACGAACCTGATTTGCGTATAGGGTATTCACATGGCCTTTCATTGAAGAGCAGCAGCAAACGCTGCAGCTCTCGGGTGTCTGTACACCTTATCTCGTGCTGCAGCAGCAACAGCAGCAGCAGCAGCAGCAGCAGCAAACGCCCCACAAGTGAAGCAGCAGCTGTTGTTGTGCTGGAAACAGAGGCAATTAAGCTACCATTAGGGTTTAGGGTTTACAGACTAGGACTAGGGTTTAGGGTTTAGGGTTTAGGGTTTAGGGTTTAGAGTCACACCACCGTTAGCAGCAGACGTTGCTGCAGCGCCACCTGCCGCGAGAAAGCAGCAGCAACTATATCCATCATGCCAGCTGCACCACAAGCAGCAGCAGCAGCAGCAGCAGCAGCAGAAGCAGCAGCAGCAAGAGACACAACAGCAGCAAGAGCAACAGCAGCAGCAGCAGCAGCAGCATCGCAGATAAGAGTTAACCTCGTTCTTTTTGAGGGGGACACATCCGCAGTTGCAGCAGCAGCAGCAGCAGCAGCAAGAACAGCAGCCTTTCCACCTGGTTCTGCTGCTGCTGCTGCTGCAGGTGATGCTGCTGCTGCAGGTGCTGCTGCTGCTGTTGCTGCTGCTGCGGCTGACTGGGGTTGTGTCTTTTGTGGGGGCAGAGACGAACCTATATCAGCTGCAGCANTGCTGCTGCTGCGGCTGACTGGGGTTGTGTCTTTTGTGGGGGCAGAGACGAACCTATATCAGCTGCAGCAGCCACCTGATGCGGGTCTGCTGCTGCTGCTGCTGCTGCTGCAGGTGTTGCTGCTGCTGTTGCTTCAGCGGCTTCAGCAGCAGCAGCAGCAGCAGTAGCAGCAGCAGCAGCAGATGCTGCTTCTAACGCTTTGCCTCTGCAGCAGATTACAGTTTGCTGCATCGAGTTGACGGTCTTCTCCTGCATGCAACAAACAAAATCACGAACCTGCTGCTGCTGCTGCTGCTGCTGCTGCAGCTGCTGCCGCTGCTGTTGCTTTGGCTGCTGCTCCTGTTGATGCTGCTACTGCTGCTGCTGCTCCTGTTGCTGTGTCTTGCTGCTTCTGCTGCTGCCACAACTGCTGCTGTTTGTTTTTCTCCGTTTGCTGCTCTTCCCGTTGCTACTTCTGCTGCTGCTCTGTGCTGCTGTTTCTGCTGCTGCTCTGTGCTGCTGTTTCTGCTGCTGCTGCTGCTGCTGCTGCTGCTTCTAGGAGGACCCACGAGCTCCGTATGCAGCACCTCCAGCCGGTGTT